GTGTCTTCCCGCCTGTAGGACGCAGTTCCAGACCAGCGAGCCGTTCTGCGCGCCACTGACTCACATTTTTAGAGGTTCCATTGTAGCAAACTTGTCACACACGTGACTGACAGGTCCTTTTCCTTGTTGGAATCAAGTTCAGAGTGATTCACCTCCTACTTAAGTTATATCGGAATACAAAGGTGGTTGGATGTCCCCTCGCTCCCCCTTGCATGTATGCCCGTTCTAGAATCTGCACTTTTTATCTTCATGAATTTTCTGCATCTGGCCAGGAAGACTATCTGTGCCTCCAGATATTCATCTTTCCTTCTAGGCTCCTCCATATATTTTCCATTGTGGAAGAGGATAGGAGAGGCTGGGCCCTGGGGAACTGAAATAAGACAGCTGAGCAGCCACGTAATCTGTGTTTTACAGCCTACTAACAGCAGCTTTCTGGGGGCATGCTTTAATATATCCTAACCAGCTCTCATTTGGTTTATATCCCATTGTCTTTGCATGAGCATTGTTTTTTTTTTTTTTTTTTTTTTTAGGGGGGTGACTTTTGTGCCTGAATTTTTTCTTTATCACCTCTGCTATTCTACACCGTGTTGATTTGTAGATTCCCTACGGGAGGTTTTTCTTTCTTCCCCCTCTCGATTGGTCGGCAGGAAGTGATGCTGCTACATACAAGCATCTGGAAGCACCTTCCTGTGTCATTAGATGTGGGTTCTTCACCCTCACTTCTGGCGTGGAAATTTCAGCTCCTGTTTGGGTTCATCTAGAGAAACACGATGAAGGTGAGAGTCCTGGCACGGCTTGTTCACGTCTGTAATCTCGGTACCTGGCACCGTACGTCACACACAGCAAGTGCTCAATATATCGTGCTGAAATCAAGGATCACTCTGTTAATTCTTCATTCGCAGTCTCCCTCCCAAAGTCCCAACTGGTAGTAGGGAAGGAAGAGGAAGCTGAGTGAACACACTGAATAATTTTCTTTCTTAGCCAAGACTTCATGGATCAGAAAGATTTCCTTGGTGTCATTCGCTCAACTTCTTGGATTATGCTGATCCTTAGTTACCGTAACAATGGTCTGGAGAAAGCACTGACTCAAAGTATGGGGAGAGGCTGCCTGGACTACTGCCTGAGGATGTGTGTCTCACGCAATCCCTTTTTCATACGCCATACTGTACAAGGCCAGAGGAAAGAGAGTGTCCCAGAAGGCCGCCGCTGACATCCAAGCACAAGTGTCTGTGCTAACCCAGCGCCAGGAACAGACGACGAAACCTCAAGGGCGCTCTTACAATGGACCTAAGGCATGGGAGGACACATCTGTAGACAGAAACATTGTCTGCATCTGGAAATGTGTGTGTTCATGGGGACAGGTGCTCCAAAGCGCTCAGATCCCAGGTGTGTGTGTGTGTGAGTGTGTGTGTGTGTGTGAGTGTGTGTGTGTGTGTGCATTTGTAGAAAGATGTAAATGTGAATGTCCCAGTACTAGGATCAGAGGCCTGAGGTCCTCAGCAAATTCTGACCACAGGCGTATGGAGCATTCCAGGGGTGCTTTATTCACCCGGAAAGGGGAGGATGATCTTGCTTCTGTGACCTTCGCGTTCATTATCAGGCTCAGAACAGGTAACACCTGGGAAATGAAGTATGAATGGAAGTCTTAGAAATAAATGCTGAACAAAAACACAACTCATGATAGAGGCCGGAAGAAAGCAAAGAACTTCCTGGAAAGGAATAAGGGACATTTCCCATTATCTGGAAAGACACTACAAGATTAAGATGAAAAGAAGAAAGTAAGACAAGAGAATAATGAGTAAAAAATATGATTATAAGGGAAGAATAAATATGGACAAAATTTAAGAAAACTATCCTAAGGATTTGCACTATAGATTACTTAAAGGGAAGTGGTGGTCATTTTCCTGAAGTTGAGACAATGACCAGTGGTCAAGAAGGCACAAAGCTGGCGCCACGGCTCACTAGGCTAATCCTCCGCCTTGCGGCGCCGGCACACCAGGTTCTAGTCCCGGTCGGGGCGCCGGATTCTGTCCTGGTTGCCCCTCTTCCAAGCCAGCTCTCTGCTGTGGCCAGGGAGTGCAGTGGAAGATGGCCCAAGTGCTTGGGCCCTGCACCCCATGGGAGACCAGGAAAAGCACCTGGCTCCTGGCTCCTGCCATCGGATCAGCACGGTGCGCCGGCCGCAGCGCGCCGGCCGCGGCGGCCATTGGAGGGTGAACCCTCCAATGACAAAGGAAGACCTTTCTCTCTGTCTCTCTCTCTCACTGTCCACTCTGCCTGTCAAAAAAAAAAAAAAAAAAAAAAGGCACAAAGACGCCCGCCCCTCTCCTAGCAAGCAGGTAAAGATTCAGAAATTCTGCATGAGTCAGCATCTTACCGAGAGAACTCACAAAGCCTTTTCATCAGGAAACTGAGAGAGAGGCGGCAGCAGCACACGGGTGTCAGAGAAGCCTGGGGAAGGAGCTCATGGCAGTGCCCAAGGAACTGGTAGAGCAGCTGCCAAGGGATGGCTGTGCCAGATGCCGGTCTGCAGAGTGATTCAGCAGCAGGAGGGCCGGCAGCAGCTGGGCTCACAGCAGGACGGGCGGCAGCAGGGCTGGCAGCAGCTGGGCAGGCAGACGCACGTGGGGTGGTAGCAGGTTCTGGTGCAGTAGACGGGCGTGCAGCTGCCGGCCTGGCCGCAGG